ATGCTAATTATATGTCTAAGGTCCAATATTGGAAAATTTAAGAGGTTTTCCTTGACTTTGTCCGTGTCAACAAACAATTCGAAATGCCTCGGCTTTTTTAGCATAGGTCCGAGTCAATTAGCAATGATTCGAAACACTTCCTTTTACACTATTTCTGAAACCCAAGGACTCAATCGTATGGATATGTAAAATACAGGAAGCTTGCCCAACCCAGCAGGAAAAGGAGGGAAACATATACTCAATTTAAAGTGAGTAAACAGAATTCCATACTAGATCTCATATATACATATAAAATTCTCTGGAAAGCCGTACTCGACGAAATCCTTTTCTTATTCGGAGGGGCTTTCTCTCCATAATCTATTCGATATAGTAGCTTCCTCTCCTCTACGGGTCCTAGTAGAGTGAAAATTTCCCTGGCTAGTGCCTGCGGAGTGTAGAGCTGAGTCCACATTCCAATGATTTTCATCTCCTTGTTGTGGGGACAAGAGAACATGATCTTTGCTCTCCTGCATTCAGGTCTTTCCTTCCGACTAAACCTACCATGCGCACCACTCTCATCCCGACCAACCCTCCAACAAAACCCCCATAATTTCTTTCACACTATTTCCGGCCAACCCTCCGTCGACGAACGTCCAGCCTTACTAGTCTTCCGCCCGCCGTCTTCTCTTCTCCCGCATTTTTCGATTTTTTTTGTTTTAAATTTTTAAATTGAAAATGGCCAGGAGATCAAAACCGGTCGAACGGTTGGAGTGGCTCGAATGGTTAACCATTTCGGTCGCTTGTCAACCGCCCCTCGCAGCCGTTGTGGTTTTCTGGGTGTTCCGAGCCGAGCTAGTGGTTGGGTCCCGGTTTTACCGGTCCGACCGACCGGCTCGGTTTTGATAACACTGGATATTCTCACAACCCTTCCTACAAATTACATTATTATATTACTAGCTTATAACGTGGCCCATTGGCGGAATATTCATACTTGATTATTTATATTTTCATTTTACGTTTAAGGTTATCAACCCGTTTAATTGTATTGACAATCCTTCGATCGAGATAATACATAAAGAAAAGAATATATATAGATCGAACATTTGAAGAAATATAAAAAGGTATCATTGATCTCATTTTCATAATGATAATTAAGTTCCCGGTAAAATTCTATTGGTTATTTGATTGTCAAGAAAGATAGAGTATAAAAGCTCACTGAAATTCTCTCACGAACCATAGATAGTATGAAACTAAATCTTAAACCTCGCAATCCTACATAAAGGTTCAATGCTCTCCTTTTAGGAACAATATGTCACTAATCAAAAAGAAATGAAGAGTTGTTGATTCAAGTCAACTATATGCTAACAACTCAGCTAAGCAGGGACCATCACAACTTGAGAGCAAACGCCAAAATTAGGATTACCTCCAATATACTAATAGACTCGATCAAAGTAATAAGGAACAAAATTAGACACTCCTTCTCTATCAGTTCCAGTAGGTTGAATAAAGAATCGACCGACCTACTTCAGTAAATCAATCGATGATTCTTCGTTTTAAGATATAATTAGGTTGCGATAGCTTCAAAAACCATAATCCTAAAGATCCAATAACCACCACTCTCCATTGTAACATTTTATCCACTCTATTTTTAATCTCAAGAGGCGTATGTTTCAATCAAAAATTCAATTTTTAATCCTCCTTCTGCACCTCCATTTATTGGACTCCATTCTATTCACCATGGATTAATATTGGAGTTGAAATCTTTTACTTGCCCAGTTTAAATCCCCAAGAATAAAATCGAAGTGCTAAGAGACCGGAAGATTGATTTTCAAAGATAAAAAAGTACAAATTTAAATATAAATTACAAAATGCAAGGACACAACACGTAGTAATAGAATTGTTTTCTTCCATATTGGCCAATTACCAATTTACCTTTAGTGAAAATTAAGGAGAGAGCAGTGATTTTAGAATTGAGAAACTACATGATACTCTGCTATGAAAATTGCAGCATCAAGCACCATAAAAATACATATGACAGACTTAGTGGGCTTGTTAATCATGATAAAAAAAGTTCACTGATTTTCAGAGTGTCACTTCGTGTATGTTTTGTATTAAAAAAGATATAAACAATTCGTTTAGTGTAATTGGTTGCGATTACTGTCTTTATTTGAAGAGACCCGGTTTCAAATCTTGATATTGAAATTTTTTATATGAAATAAATAATTAATTATAAAGACAAAAATGGCATTCCTACTTTCACTCTCTCGTTGCAAGAAATTTGAAATAGAGAAAAGTAAACAAAATTCTAGGAGGATTAAAACTCATCTACATGCTTGCCATTAGGGATGGCAATGGCCCGGCGGGCCATGGGCATCCAACGGGCCTCGCCCGACTGTGGTGGACTGAAACCTGCGAAGACGGGCCTGCTGGCGGTGACGGGTAAACCCGCGGCCCGCAAAGCTCGGTGACGGGCTGGGGATGGATTCAGCGTTCCCCGCCCCGTATCCGCCCCGAAACACAAAACGATGTCGTTTTATGTGCATATATAATCTTCAATTTTAGGGCTAGGGTTTGGAGACCTCATTTTTACAAACTCCCAGCCGCCCTCCTCCCCGATTTTCTCTCAACTCTGTCAAGGCGAATCGCCGAAGTCGACCAAATCTGTTCGATTCTGACGATTTCTCCTACTTTCTCTACTGTTTTTCCTTGTAAATCGACATTCCCGTCACTTATAATCCTAAATCTAACCCTCAATCAAGCCCCCAGTCACCTAAAATGTCTCAATCGACGGAAATGCTCTTTGAGTCGTGCATGCAGACGATTTGTTTCACAGAATATCGAGATAAGTATTCAATTCTTTCTTTACTTAACCCAATTTTTCTAATATGTGTATAAATAGTTCACTAACTTCATCATTTTGTTTATCTGCAGTTCATCGAACCTTAAATCTCGAAACCCTAGTTTCTAGAAATCGAACTCCCCCTTTCCTGCATTCTCAGTAAGTTTGGTAGACCTTAATTAGTTTAATTGTTTGTTGTTGGTGCTTGCTTAGTTCGCTAGAAACACTAAATCGCTAAGCATACAAAATCTACTCTTTGTTTTCGCAGATTTCTGTTCGTGAGTCTCATCAAGCAAGTGGTGCTTCAACTGCTTGTTGCTGAGGTAAATTGACGATCCTTTGTTTGATGGTTCTTGGGTGTTGGTGTTTATTGTGTAATGTTTTTACCTAATTTAGTGAATTCATATGGTAATCACCTTAAAGCAAACATAGTACTATTACTAGTGTGTAGTGTCTACTGATCAGAGTCATTTTGCTAAATGGTAATGCTTAGTGTGATTCTGATGTTGGAATATTTGAATGCTTCGTGTAAGAAGTCTGTGTAATGGTTCATGGTTGTGTAAGAAGGCTGTGTAATGGCAATGGTAATGGTTGATAGCTAAGTTCGATGTTTGTTCTTGTAGCTAAGTTCGAAATGTGAAAATGCTAATGATCACTACTTGGAGTTGTTTGAGCTAATCCTAAAAACTTTGTAAACTATAAATTATCTAATGCATCTAAATCCCAACTAAAACCAGTAGGCTACTGATTAACCATGATGTTTTGTCGTGCTGATGATCGAATCCCTTTTAGAGAGGATTCAATCATCATTGCAGAATAGAAAAGTGGTTGAACTCTGATTTCCTGAACATCACTGGAATCCTTTTTAACATTTTTGTTTTATCTTCCTTTTGATCAGATGGAGCGTGAACAAATTGAGACTGCAGCAGTTCAGAATAACAATGGGGAACAACCGAACAAGTACTTCCTCCTCCTAGTAATTCTGAAAACCTTACTGAAGATGCTCTTCCCCAAAATCCCTTAGGTGCTAGTAGGTGCTTAAAGTCTGATGTGTGGCCTCATTTCACCAGACTGATAATTAATGGGGGTTTGAAAGCAAAATGCAACTATTGTAAGAAGATTTTGGCCGGAAAATCGAGTAATGGTACCTCCCATCTTGGACTCATAGGAACCGTTGTGTTCATAAAAAAATTCATGATGGTAGTCAAAAGGTCCTTGGGGATGACTATAGTGCCAAGGGAACAGCTGATCTGAGTACGAATCAGTTTAGTAGTGAGGTTTCTAGAAAGGAGCTCTGCACCATGATCTTGGTGCATGAGTATCCCCTTTCTATTGTTGACCACCTTTATTTCAAAAGGTTTTGTTGCACCTTGAACCCTCTCTTCAAAGTTCCAACCCGAAATACCATAAAGAAGGATATAGTTACTATTTATGGTTTAGAGAGGGCTAAGATTCAAAAGGTCATTGATGAAAACCGAGTTCGTATAGCTGTCACAACTGACATGTGGACTGCCACAAACCAAAAAAGGTCTTACATGGCTGTCACTGCCCATTATATAGACAACTTTTGGAAGTTGCGAAACCATCTGCTTATGTTTGGATATTTCCCTGCCCCCCACACTAGTGAGAGGATGGCTGCAAAGCTAGCTCAATGCCTCCGATCTTGGAACATTGATAGTACATTGTCAACTATTACTCTTGACAATTGTACTACCAATGATTCCATGATAAATCTAATTAAACAAAGGCTAGTGTTATCGAATCTAATTAGGGATGGCACACTTCTTCATATGAGGTGCTCTGCTCACATCCTTAATCTGATTGTGAGGGATGGACTCGATGTATTGAAAGATGGTATTGAGAAAATAAGGGAGAGTGTGGTCTTTTGGACCTGCAGTCCCAGGAGAGTGGAGTTTTTCCATGCAACTGCCCAACAACTCAAATTATCTGTTTCTAAGAAGTTGGTATTGGATTGTCCCACTCGTTGGAATTCCACCTACGAGATGCTTTCTTGTGCTTGTGCTATCCCGTATAAGGAAGTGTTCTCTATAATGAAAATAAGGGAGCCTCAATATAATTCTCTGCCTACCAACGAGCAGTGGGACTTTGCTGCTGTTTTGGTTGACAAGCTTGATGTTCTCAAGGACATCACTTTAGTTTTTTCTGGTTCAAACTACCCAACAGCGAATCAGTTTTTTGCTAAAGTGTGTGATTTGAGGTTAAAGTTGATGGAATGGTTAAGTGATCCTAATCTGCTGATTGTTTCTATGGCTGGGAATATGTGGAATAAGTTTGTGAAGTATTGGGATGACATTCATTTACTGTTGGCTGTTGCTGTTGTATTGGATCCACGGTATAAATTGGAACTGGT